ATACTACTGGAATGGAGGTAAGATCAGGAACGGCTTCAGCATGGGCAGCAACAGGTAAGACCGGTTCTGAGGGTATGATGAGAGACATCCTATCCTCAGAAAATGGAAGCCGTAACTCTACACTTCTTCTCTTCATATCCAATACTACCCCATACAACCGCAACCAGTTCATTCCAAGAATAGCATCAATGCCTTGCCCAGGCATTATCATGAACTGTAGATGGTAAGTGTGGGTGGCTAATACCAAACTTACTGTATTCGTGCGGGTATTGATGAACATCTGAGAACCCGCAGTACGGATCTTATAGGCATACGGTATAGCCAATAGTGATAAGTTGTGCCGCTCTACAAACCCCATGCTCATAAAGGAATGCGATGCACCAGAATCAAACAACACCAAAGCTGCATAGCTTGCTGAGCATCCGTGAAGTGCACCACCGGATCTGCTGGGCACCTTCCTCTTGATGAAAGTCCTCTTAATCAGCTGGAATTTGCGGGATCATTTGACGGCAATTTGGTATCTGCTGCGCCGAGGACACTCCACAGCATAGTGGCCATCCTTGCCACACTTGAAACAAGCACCGTGCTTGTTCCCGAATCCTCGACGAGGTGGAACCACCGTCCCCGAAGTCTGCTTGGGGCTGCACTCGCCGAGGTGCCTTGTCTTGAGTAGCGAAGTTTGTGATGTCTGTTGGGTGATCAAGACGGAGGCCACGGATGGTTGATAGGGCCCCGCCTAACAATCTGCACCTTCGAGTATGGGGATGGCCGGAGGATCCAAATGCCACCCGCTTCGCTTCAATCCGCTGGGATGCCTCGGCTGAAACCCTCAAGAGCAATGGCGGCGTTCATCGAGCCCCAAAGGTCCGATAGTTCCCAGTGCACGTTTCTCTGAAGAGCGGAGGAGACCGCGAAAGAAGCGATCCTCTTCTTGTCATCCGTGTCCACCGACTACCAAAGATCTTGAGCCAAGTGGTTAAACCGGGTCACATACTCCATCTTCGCCTCGCTCCCCGACGTAGCTCCATGAACTCGGTCACCTTCGGTGGATAACACCAGCAGTATGAAGAACTCATGGAAGGCGGTGGAGAACTCTGCCACATCGCCGGGTGATCCGGCACTCCGCGGCCCGGAAAGTCTCCCACCGTGCACCTACGGACCCCAAAAGCGGTTGGGACGCAAAGTGCATCTTCGCTCGTTATTACCCGGCGGTACCAAACTCGCTCCAATGTGCGGGCCGATTGCTCGCCTCCAACGGATCGTCTGACGGTGTGAATGTGGGTGGGTGGGTTTTGAGGAAGTCCTAGTAAGAGGACTGTCCCTCGGGACGACGAGCACCACCCCCATTCCCACTGTTGTTCCTCCGGGGCTCCACAGGGCGAGACCCATGAGGGCTGTGCCATAATCTCCATGGCACGAGCTGCTCTGATGAGCAGGCGGGAGACTCATGAAAGCAACCAACAACTCCACCATGACCTCCAGCTGGGGGACAGCGGCGAGGCGGTGGCGTAAAAGGCCGAGGAACCAAGGGTGGAACCTCCCGAGCTCCCTCGTTGCCACGCTCAAAGGCCTGAGCACTGTCACCATGGCCCTCGTTGGCTGCTCCCGAACTGGTGCTCCCACGTCTGGACCTCAGATTCATCTATAAAAGAGACGAACCATCCATTAGAACACCTTCCCGATCGGGATCCGTGGATTAAAGAAATGGCAAAGACATTTTTAAGGCATTCATTAAGTTAATCCTACCAATTTACTACTTTCATTATACGTGAAGGGGGATTCCTAGTTCAAGTAAGATGCTATTATATGATGCATGCTTTGACCTATACGTTCACTCAAGCCGGAATATAGCGGCGTTCGTAAAATTTTCGGCACATCGCACACTCACTTTCCGTATACTAAGCGATTTCTTACGTCATGTAAGTCAGTGTACCTGCAGAAACTGATTAGATAAAACTAGTGCCACTATCCTAGATATACCATATAGCTAGGGCTTATACTTAACTTAATCGCATCCTACTTTCGCAAAACTTTTGTTGGTCCACTTTTAGTTTTGTAAAAGAGTGAGGAACTCGTGACCATTATTGGCTCTGATACCAACTATGGCAGAACCGCCCGAAATAGCACACTTACGGAGGCGCTCGTCTTCCACCAGACACTAAGCACCCCGAAAGCAGGCTACAGCGAGCGGTGTCCGTCGAGCACACCCCAAGGGAGAACCCGAAAGATCCACATTTTTCTCAAGGATCCAATAATGAAAACGAGTTACAATACTTGTCCATTTCATACATCAGAGTTTCTTAAAAGTACATTATTACAATACCAAATATCAGAGTGCGGAATGATAAACAGCGGAATTTAAAATAAACATCTAGCGATAAGAACGAGGATCCGTCTCGAGCCCACCGTAAGAATCCTCCACACAAAGGTACTTCTCAAGCATCACCGCAGCAAGGGTAAATAAACCCCGAGTACACAATGTACTCATAAGACTTATCCGACGGTGGGGAATACTTTCCCGACTCCAAGGAATATGCTAGGCTTTATGGTTTGTTTGGTTCTCTTTTAGCAAAAAGCAATACTAATAGTGAGTCCTTATTGATACATTATTATCATCACCGTATTAAGTTTTCATCTAGTCAATCTATATAAGCCTATTCTACTTTCAAGCAAGAGTTGAGCAATCGGTTCCATTTCTTCTCCTTTCAACTTTCGGTTCTTACTACGGTGCTAAACCACAGACAAGCCGTCTTAGGATAACCCGGCGATTCATGAATCAATGTGCCCAAATTGGTGCCCCGAAGACACGCGCCCGCTTGTACCCCGTGCACAAGCAGGACTAACCCACTACTCTCTGTCCCGTGTGTCCGTGTTCCCGTCCAAACTTGGACTCAAGCCCCACATCCCGAGTCCCTGACTCAAGCGGTGCAAGGACCTCCACCACCTCCTCTTCCCATCACCGGTCCGGAAAGAGCTGGATCCGCGACAAGAGAGCAAGAAGCCTTCCTCGCCCCATACCCAAGTATGTGCTCGGGACAATAATCTGTGACTTGCCTAGAGTCATATGCAACGACCGGTCCTTAATCGACACAGCAGCGGGGAAAAAGTGTAACCGGCTATGCCCCTCATTGGCATGCAGGACACAACCCCTCACACCCACCAGTTACCAAATCCACATCCCCGTCCGGTCACCATTTTCCTTTCCATTATTTCATCATGATATCACAGTTTAAACACCTATTTGCGAGTAACGACAAAGTTACTCACGCTACTGACATCCCGAGCATAGCAACTACTCGACCTATACTAGTAGGACTCATGGTGGATATATTTATGCATGTAGCTTCCATAAAATACCATAACGTAAATGCATATCATATAAATATATTGATTATTTAAAAATAGGGGTTATGCACCGGGCTTGCCTTGGGCGGTAGCGCGGTGTCGCAAAAAAGTCGATGACGGTGGCTCAAGGCGTCCTCCCGCATGAGGATCTCCTCGTACTCTTCGATGACTTCATCGTACTCACCTTTCACCCGAATGTCACGATCTCCAAAGTGGCTCGTCCTCTATATGCATGCAAAGTGATGATGATGCAATAATTAATATATAGGCAACCGCAACTCTTAAAATAAGAATACATCTACCAAGCTACTAAGCTAACTCTAATGACTAATACGCAAAGTTACCTATTATTCCCACTAAACAAGTATGCAACATTTCATGTATTATCTTAGCAACTAAAGGCATCCTTATTGTTAATATCAATTTACTATATATATAATAAAACAAGGTGCACTAGCTATCATGCATCATAAAAAAAATTCATTCTCATAATAAGCATTTCAAAATAATAAAGTAACCCTAAAGGTATCAATTTGAACTATACTGAACTAATTACACTAATGATAGACCATGAATTTAGGAATCTAACAAAATTTATTTCACAATCAATAAATAAATTCAAATGAGCTCTAGAGATGAAGAAAATGATATTATTGGAGAAGGATAATCATGCTATTGGACTTGATGACTTGCACATGACTGTGGGTCTAGAAATACAAGATGAGACCGCTGGTCCGAAAATAATAATAGAGAAGGAGGATGAAGGAATTCTTGTAGGCTAACTACCTCGGAATTGAATGAAGTGCCTCCTACGGTGATCGATGTCTGGGAGGCAATGCAAGATGAGAGACACCAGGGAGCTTAGCAATTGCTTGCCCTGCGTGGAGCGGAGCAGAACCATATATAGCACTGGTTGTGGGTGGTCATGACAAGCTAGGTAGTCTGGAAGCACGAAACGAGTTGGCAGGGTTGTCCTCTGGCTCCGTGCCGTGTGCGGTGGTGTGGTCTTTGGTCATGACAGAATTAATTCAAGAATGAACTTTGAGTGGTCTTGGACTTACGAGCACGTCAGGACTGGAGTGGGCTTTGGGCTGAACGTGCTTGGCGGTGGGGTGCTGGTTCATTCATGCAGGTCAAGGAATTAATGGAGGAGGAGACCACAGGTCAAGGAAACATTAGAGAATAAGAAGATCAATTGTAAACTAGCTACCTCAGCTGACTATAGCTCGGGGAGAAATCGATAGACGCAGCTCTCTCGGGCAAGAACAGAAGAACTTGATTTGAGAGGAAGAAACAAGTGAGCAGCGGAGCGAGATAGCTCGGCGTATCCTTTTAAAGACAGGAGACACAGGAATGGAGAAGCAAAGACGCGACAGCGACGCGTCGTAAGGTTAGTGGCTAACTAGCTTGCTTAAAGGTAATAAAGCGGTGCGAGGAACGACGTCTTCGCTCGGATGAACAGTGCTTTCTACAGAGCTACAGTTCTTCGATGCTACAGTAGTGTCTACGCGTGAACAGTGTTCCGTCGGATGTAAACCGACAGTGCACAGAGTTATGTGAACATTCAGTGATAAAACACACGCAAAATAGGGAAAAACACACAAAAGAGTCTAAACACTAACACCATTATTAGATGGATGGTGCTTGCTGGTTATTTAGGTGGACTGTCCCCGTTGGACACACACTTCAGTGAAGCTGACTGTAAAATCATGGTTACAGCCAATACAAAAGCTGTCAGAACACACCGAAGCAAAATGACCCAAAACCAGTGTGGACACTCAATGCGAAAGGTGTCCTAACACAGCAAAAGAAAGGGAACTAAGATTCGTCCGCGGCTCAATACGCCACGGAGAGTATTTCTTGGTAAACAATATTCTGTGTCTCATCTGTACAACCACCATCTGCACCTTCTATGAGTATCTTAAGGCCTCGCTTTGAAGTGACGCGCGAAACAGCAACATATAGCTGGCCATGACTGAAAACAGGACCTTTTAAGTATACGCCAACATGTTCTAAGGTTTGGCCTTGACTCTTGTTAATGGTCATGGCATAACAGACTTTGACTGGGAACTGGCGTCTTTCCAAAGTAAATGGCAGTCTCATATTTTTAAGTGTTAGACAAATTCTTGGTATGTGTACTATGTCACCAATATGTGTGCCGGTCATTATCTTTGCTTCTATTAACATCTCACCTATATTTGTGACAATCAGTCTTGTGCCGTTACATAGACCACCTGCTTGATTAAGGTTTCTAAGCATCATTATTGGCACACCTTTTTTAAGACAGAGGCAGTGCTGTGGGAAATTGTTTCCGTTTATTGAATTTAGAAATTCAGTAGGATACAACAGATTAAAAGAGTCATGGGTATCTGGGGATTTAGCAATTCTATCACAGCTTAGGTACTCCTTCTCTTCCCCAGGTATCAGGGACACCACGTATGAGTTAATAGTATCTGCAGCTTCGTTTGTTGGGGTCAAGATGGCCCGCGCCTGGAGGTAGTATGCATCAGCATACTTGGCACCTAGATCTGGGTAGATGGAACTAACCATAAAGGCGACCTTATCTTCTTGTGGCATGAGCAGCAGCTCACATGGAATTTTAATTCGTGTTCCCTGGGTCTCACTACTGGTGCCTAAACTCTCAATCTTGCCCTCACCAATATCTAGCACCCATTTGCTAAACTCAGCAATCTCTTTCTGCGACTCGCTGTCCAGGTCTTGTCTATTGAGCCTCATATTTGTAGTAAGTGACAAAATCTTAACATGTTTCCATAGAGAAGAGTTTACTATCGCAGCATTGACAATCTGGGGTCTATCACCACCTGGAACCACAGGCAGAATTTGGCGAAGATCACCACCTAGAACAACAATCTTGCCACCGAAAACTAAATTCGCAGCACCTTTTGTGCGGTGTGACAAGATGTCTCTAAATGTTCTATCTAGAGCTTCAAATGCATGCCTATGTGTCATTAGAGCCTCATCCCAAATGATAAGAGATGCAGATTCAATCACTCGCACAACTTAGAGCCACATTTTATATCACAGACCGAAGCTTCATCTAGATCACATGGCAGCTTGAATCGTGAATGAGCAGTCCTACCCGCAGGCAACAACAATGAAGCGACTCCGGATGAAGCAACAGATAGCACAATCTTTTGTTGAGATCGCATATAAGCAACTATGGATTGCCACAGAAAAGTTTTTCCAGTCCCCCCGTAGCCAGATACAAAGAAAAACCCTGGTTCATTATCTAAAGCAGCTTTGGTGATTACAGTAAATGCATTAAGCTGTTCTGTGTTTAGCTTGCCAACCAAATTTTCAGCGTCACGCATTGCCTGATGACTATCATATGATAGGGCCTCTTCGATGAGTCTATTACCAGGAATATCTTCAAAGTTTTTAGTTTTCTCAGGCAAAGCATGTTCCCGCATTTTAGCCCGTTTCTCTGGAAAAGAGCATGAATATCATCAAGCAGATAGTTTCTAAGGTCCTCATCACACACATGGAATTCATGATTACCCATATTGTCTCTAAGACGGTACTGTATATCGTCAGCTAGGACTCTCCAAACTTTTTCAAAGAAGGCACGTTCATCCTTGACCTCACAAAACAACAACATAGTAACAAACAGTTTTCTAAGCTGTGGGGGTTGTTGCCCAAGCAGCGGCCTCGTCAAAGGCACTATACCATTCCTGATCATCACCAAGTAGGCCACGAGCATTACACGCCAATCTAAACGTAGAGTAGACAACGCCGTTGTATGTTCTAACCTCTTCGAAACTTCTAGCGCCTTTGACCACGAGGAGCAACATTCTAAGGAAATATCTCTCACCAACTGAAGGGTGTATATAGTATAACCTCCCTATCTTACCAGAACCTCGTCGCCTCTAATCCTAGAATCTAGAAGAGCTATCCCATTTCCACCGCGAAGGGAACTCACAATATGTGAGGTCTCTACCAGCATCGCTTTGTTGGTTGGCCACAAACCATTCAGTTAACATTGTTTTACGAAGAAATTCTAATCTGGCAACATCAGTTATATTAGTGGATTCATCATAAACAATGCAGTTGTCATTTGGAAGATGCACATGCAACCTTTCTACAGCCGGGTAGTGTCTATGTATATCGAAACCAAAAATTCACCAACAGGCATCCTGCTCGCATATATATCTACAATCTAGGTACTCCTGAACCTCATTAATCGTTTTGGTTTGTTCATCATAGGGCGCTGGTTCACCGCTCCGTATTCTCTGTATATAAACCTTGCCACGGTCAGGACCTTTAGTAACATATTTGAATAGGTATTTAATGAAAATGCCCTTGTTACACCACTCTACATTGATATGGGTCTGGTACTTTTTAAGCAAGGTCATATTGTATGGAACAATGGAACTGCTATCTAGCCTTTTGCCACCTTTTTCAACATATCTCTTGTTGTCAGATCTCCTATACAGAGCAAAGCCATTATCATCAATTACCGTTTCAGTTTGGTATTTTTTTGGAAACCGTTTTGAACATTTATCTTTTTTCATAATGGACAGGTGGGGTGGCTTGCGCCACAGGGACCATGCACCAAATGCTTAGCCACCAGTACATATCCAAGAGGGTCTGTATGTGGGTCAGGAACCTCAGCACGTATGAATTTATATATGAATGCAGGCGTTGGGTGTGAGGTATCTTGTTTGAGCCAAACAATTATATGAGCATGTGGGAGGCCACGCTTATGGAATTCCACAGTGTGCAGCACTAAACAAACAAATGAGAAGAACAGTCATAAAAAACAAAGATATCTAACCGTGGCCAAAAAAGAAAGGAAAATCTACCCAACGGCACAACGTACCAGCACTGACAGGCCCAAAGGCGGTGTCATCTCGTATATCACCTAGAAGCTCCTCAAGCTTCATATTGTAGACCCTGACCACTATATCTGCTCTACAATATGATAGAGCAGATATAGTGGTCAGGGTCATATACCGCCGGCCACCAGTATGGGAGGCCGGCAGCACAGTTTTTTGGATCATATACCGCAGCACAGTTCCATCATGATAATTTTGGATCATATACCGCAGCACAGTTCCATCATGATAATTTTTGAAATCAGGCGGGCCATGAACTCTACAGATAGCAATTCCATCGTGATAATTTTGGATCATATACCGCCGGCCACCAGTATGGGAGGCCGGCAGCACAGTTTTTTTCCAATCTCGCCTCCATCTACACATCCTTTATCAACCGCATCGACTATGCCCTGAAGAGTCTCTACACGCAGCTTTCCCTGATTCTTGAGCACATACCAGAGTCTATTTTCATCGATACATGCACGTGCATCAACCTTGGCCTGAGTGGACAAGGCACCATAGCACAAGAACGGATTCGACTGGCCTTTTCTATAGTGGAAACAATGGCGGTAGTAATCTTGCATTGTTACTTTGGCACGCTTGTTCTCGCCCGATGTATCTACCCCACTATAAGGCACACCGACCTGGAAACCACGCTCACCATAAGGAAAGAGCAGGGGTACTGTAGGGCCATGAAAGCAGGATGCAAAGAAGAAATATGCTCTAAATGTCCAAATCTAGGCTGCACCACAATATCACGCTGAAAAGTATCTAGCGTAAAATCACCCACAACAAGCATGGCAAGCTGGTCAACAGTAGGAAGATTATACTGAACTGGATCTCCCTCCCTTGCACCAATAACTCTTACTATGAACTCTTCATCACCATTTTCTGCCAATCTATCTCTTGCCCGCCTAAACTGTCTAGCCAATGGGTTGTGGTCATCTAGCATCTTGACCAAACGTTCAGCTATCTTTGGGTCGAGAGACTCAGACGAGCGTTCATCTGGGTGCAGCGCACGGAACCTATTCTTCACCTCGTTCGCTGTATCATATATATAGAGCTGCAAGAATTTCGGTGAGTTGCCATTGGCTGGAAGAAGAGGTCCTATACGATGATGAACCTGGCCAGACACTTTGAACACAGGAGGGCCACGACCATTATTCATAGATCTATCAATGTTTGCACCCATGGATGTGAAAGCAAACAGGCAATTGTACTGGCGTATAATCTTTATGAACTGTCTACAATTAGCATCACCATCAAATCTGGCCAGCGAAACAATGGGTTCAGGAGGGTCTCTAAAAGGAGGTATTACTACTTTGCCACCCCTACAGCATGAATTGTAAATGACCCTGCCATCTCTTAAACTGGACTGACCAGCAGCACACTCACGCAAACAAAATATGGCACCACAGTGTCTACACGTATAATCTGGCGCCCCATAAGATGAACGACCGACATAGGAATCTAGGCACAGGCGTGGGCCACCCCAAAGCATCCGCGAGCACGAAGAACATGAAAATAGACACAAAATCAGCCAGAGGATGGCATTTAGTAACCTAGAAAAACAACAGTGAACCTAGCAAAAAAAAATTTAAGCCAAACCTTTAAGCGCATCAATATACTCTTGGGTGAAGTGACCACACTCGGATGCACCAGCGCCATCTAAAGGGCCTAATAAAGCAAAACCGGGCCAACATAGCAGGCACATCAGTACGGGTGTATCTAAAGAGAAACCAGCTAGGATGGCGACCTAAAGAGCGAACACCTGACTTGGCAATCTTCTTCTGGTTTAAATACTTCCTCCGCTTATTCCGACACTCAGCAGCTGGGAGCGTGCTGGGTATATAGTATGCACCCTCCGCTATAGGAAAGTGACACTTAAGTATCCAAGACCAACATGGCTGTAATGGCTGTAGACTAAATAGAACACGGGAAGCACGGCAAGAAACACGTACACTGTCTCTTGCGGGGAGCAGAGTTCGAAGGGGCAGTTATCCGTGAAGAAGCTAGGGAGGTCAAAAGCAACGAAACAAATAAGAGATGCTTCAATGGTCTGACCAATGGGCTATAACCGTGAAGATTACCAAAAGAGCAGCACAGACACATACACTACTCTCCAGGAACAAGGCGAGATGCAGGACGTGCACGACGACTCGCCATCTGGGACCAACTACAGCAAACGTCAGAGAAGGCCGATCATGTGACAAACTGCAGCACCTGGCTGTTAAGAAAAGGAAAGCTCCAAAAGAGCTCTATGGCCTATGGCAAGCTCCAAAAGAGCTCCAAAAGAACCCGTACATCTTCTGCAGGAAACCTATGGCCTGCAGGGCAGCCTGCTCATAACCAGGAGCGCAACAATCTTCCATGGACGCCCAGAAGAAAAAGCTACGACAGCGCCGGACCGGGCCAACACAAGGTAAATCTAGCTCGACGCCGTACACTGGCGTTCCATCTCCGGTAAACTCAGTAACCATGGCTGCATACGGCAAGCCACACCGGACCACCACACCCTGCAGCAGTGACAGGTAGGACGCACCCACAACGAATATTGATCCGTCTTCCCTCTGTGAACCCGAGCACGGGAAACAGCAAACAAGAATCGGAAAGGAGGAAAAAAAGAAAACACACCGACCACAAGACCACACGGCGCAACATGTAAGCATTTCGGCCATTGAAAGCGACAAACGAATCAAGGAAGAAAGGTACAGGCGAGAGTGCGGAAAAGGGGTATACCAACACGCCGAGGACGCAGCCTGTTGTCGCCCAGTCGCCGGCGGCGCTCCCACCTGGCAGCCGCACGCCCCAAGACCTCGTCAGCAGCCCGCTCCCAGTGCCGCCGCACTCCGCCTCGTCAGCACCCCGCTGGTGGATCTGGATCTGGCCCCAAGCACCTACAAATCATACGCAGTGCGGCGGCACCACACGACACAGCGGCGGCGCCGGGTACCCACCGGATTAGATGGTTCCGCCGGTAGAATAGAGGAGGAGGAGGAAAGGGAAAGACGGCGAGTCCCACACCTGAGGCAAACGACAGAGTTCGGAGCGGAAATCAAGAATGGAGGCTGAGGAGCTCTTTTATCGTCGCCGTTCGTCCCTTCGGAGCGGGCTGGGAGACGCTGTGGAGTTCGGAGCCGTGCGAAGGAGGAGGAAGCAGGAGACGCTGCATGCGAAGGAAGCCGGCCCCACCGGCAGCGGCACAGGGTCGGCAATCGCAAGCGCCGCTGCATATTCCCAGTCCCACCGAACCCAGCCCAAAATACCGAGAAACCCGGCACATGATCTAAGAAGCTGACCAGTGGACCACCTAGTGCTAAGCCAATAAGCAGACGACAATGAAAAAAGAGCCCCGTGCAAGCTCCATACCGTGGAGGCCCAACTGACGTGCGGAGGCCATGCCGTGGGGGCCGACTCGCAGCGTAGCAGCAACTGCAGCGGCAGGCGCGCGCAGGCAACCGCCAGATGGACCCAGCGCCTTCTCGCCAATGAGCACACGACAGCGGCCTGAGGCACCCAATCTGGCGACGACAACGGACTGGGCGCTGACCGCACAGCCGTTTCGTTGAACAACGGTTTTGGGCAGACAGGCAAAACGGCACAAGAACCATAGATCACGAATCAGACGGGCAAAAAAAAATTTCTAACGTGGACATGCTAGCCTCGCGAGCTGGCCATAACTAATTTACACTTTAAATAGCATGGCATGGCTTGTCCGAGTTCTGCCTCTTTCGTTTTTCTAGCAATCGCGAATCTGCGCACCACTAGCAGCCACGATCCGTGTTCATCTGAGCAGCTGTTTAACCCTTTTTCTCGTACTGTTGCACTATACGATACAGCTAGAGTATCACAAGAAGGGCTGGTCCGGCATGTCTAGAGAACGCCCGAGTCCCGTCTCTCGTGGAAGGAAGGAACGTGCCCAAGTGCCGCGAGCCGCGAGCCGCGACGCCAGTCGCCATCCAGCGAAGCGGCAGCGGGCAAAGCACGTGCACACATCACGTGGTCTTGATTGCGAGCAGGTGTGGTGTGGCGAGGATCTACAGGGCCTGATCGTTTGCTTGACGAGGGTGGCTCGTATGGCTGGATAGAGCCAGGCTGGAATGGGACAGGCTAACTAGGTGCAACTGCTCGTGTTTGTTTTCCATGTATGAAACGAGGCAGGCTGAACCGAGATCATGTTTGGGTGCATGTACAGATGTTTATGACTACACTGCATCAGGCAATCTGGTAACCTTACCACTCCCACCTTCTTCTTCCTGACCTCGTTGGCATTTCATCGAGCACCTTACGGGCGTGAGCGTTCCTCCACCGCGCAGCACAGCGGCGGCGGCGGGGGCAAGGTGGCCACGGCCATTAACGAGGACCTGCCGAGGCTCGCGGCGACCGGGACCGGGAAGGGCGCGCCGGAGGGCAGGCGGCCGGAGAAGGTGCTGGTGCGAGCCGCGGTCATCACCTGCTCACGCCGCGTGCCGTGGCATCCACAGCAGGCGCCATGGAGCAGCACTGCGGCGCGCATCTCCTCCACCTCGGCCTCCCGGATCTGCGTGCTCCGCAGCACTCCCATGCCGCCGTCCCTTCGGCACCTCCGCCTCCACCGACGACGCCGACGCATCCTCGAGCTCCGCCGCGCGCCGCCTCCCTCACCCGCTCACGGCGGCCTGCGTGGCTGCGGTGCCCGCGCCCGCAGCCTGCGTCCGCGGCGGCCGGGCGGCCGGGGAGAGCCTCGCCCGTGGTGGCGGCCGGTACCTCCAAGCTCACATCGGCGGTGGTCGTCGTTCGCGTCACCTTTTCCAACCGGGGGAGAGAGAGAGGCTACCGGAGGTGATGCCAACGCCCGCTCGAGGCCGCAGCGAGCCTGGCTCTGGAGGAACGGAAAAATTTTGAGACTTTTCCCTGTGTGCCATTATAAAATATCGTAATCCTTTGTGGGTTTGTGAAAAAATTCAGCGATCTTGACATCACCTCTTTAACTTTTTCATCATCATTGCCACTTTCGTCAATCGGTTTGGGCCTTAACGCCGTCAATCAAGCTGCGGTGTGAAAAGACGAAAATACCCTTAAGTTCAAATATGTTATTAATTTTTTTGAGCATCTTAACGACTTTAAATAAAAAAACTCAAAACTAGAAAGTTGTAGATCTCGTCGAGATCTATAATTTTCATATAAAAATTATTTTCATTTAATTCCGCAAAAAAATATGATTTGATATGATTAATATATCTTAGAAAAATCATATTTTTTTTGCGGAATTAAATGAAAAAAAATATATAAAAATTATAGATCTCGACGAAATTTACAACTTTCTAGTTTTGAGTTTTTTCATTTGAAGTCATTAAGATGCTCAAAAAAATTAATAACATATTTAAACTTAAGGGCATTTTTGTCTTTTCACACCTGCAGTTTGACGGCGTTAGAGCCCAAACTGACGGAAGTGGCATGGATGACATGAAAAAGTTAAAGTAGTGGCGCTGAAGACCGCTGAATTTTTTTAGGGGCACACAGAGAATTACGATCTTTTATAATGACGCACAGGAAAAAGTCTCAAAAATTTTCGTTTGCCCGGATGCAGCATCTTCGCTGCTTTAACGTGCGTGCGGGGCTGGCTGCTGGGCTAGGTCAGGTAAACAAACAGCCCGAGTTGCAGCTGGCCGGCCTGGCCGGCCGGCTGGGCCAAGGAAACAAACGCGCCCACAGAGGCGCTGCCGCGGCTGGCCGACTGCACATTGATTACTTCGCACCACCAAGCAAAAAGGAGAGAACGTGCTGCTTGAACCAAGCACAAAAAGGGATGGAAGAAACTGCCAGTAGCTATATCCAGCATATCCATATCCGGCCGACTGGCACAGAGAGCAGATTTATCCATGCGTATCCACACAAGAAATTTCCAAATTAACGTTGCATCCAAAATTTTCCTTCGACTGCTCGAACCACCGCTGTGATTGAGCTGTCATTTGCATCTCATATAGGAGTATAAAGGATAAACACTGCGTATGCCTGATGCTTACTAGTAGCGCACAAACCACAGTGTTTTCCGATCCAAGCAAGCCTAACCTAGCACAAGCAGTGCGGTGCAACTCCGTCAAAACACGTAAACCCGCCGTCACCGGAAGGAACCGCAGATGCTGCGCCGTGATCATGGAGTCATGGACACACACACACTAGAGGAGAGAGGCCGTGGACCCATAAGTAGGTGGTCTGTTCGGGCACGCGTCAATGAAGCCTAATTATGTGGCATCAACAAAAGCACGCTGCACGCTTTGTTGTTTGCAATGCTGTGTCTGCGGTCACCACGGCACGGATAGTGCTCGTCCGGTGATTCAGTTGCAGTCCCACTAATCTTTTTCAGCTTGATCCTAAGCTGAGTACCGAGCCAACCATGAACAAGAGCCACACCAAATTAAGTAGTGTGCAGCGAGCACTCCAGAAAACTTCAGGAAATTTTTGGACAAATGACGATGCTGTTTAACAAGCCAGTACATCTGAAGGTTAGCTTAAAGCCAACAAGGCAAGGAAATTTGTTGCCAGTTGCCACTCAAGGACTGTCCAACCATCGAGCACACCGGGAGAAGCTAAAGACCAACATGTGAACACGCACACAAAAAAAAGGGGAGAGGGAGAGCCAAAACTTAGCTGATGAAATGTTAGTCTCAAGTTAAAGAAATCCAAAAAGGGCAATAAAAAGACAAAATTCCAACAGGGTCAATCTGATTCTGTAGAGAGCCCCTTTGTTTACACCAGAACAAGCTTAACACTTTGACTCAGAACAGTTTCTCATATCACACTTTCCATTATCTTTGAGCAGAGCACCAAATCAACCTTCAAGCATTGCCTTGGCTGCATTGATAAGTGCAGGTCTGAAGCTGTTCGATGCTCGGCCAAGGACAGTGTAGCCTTCCTCGTCCTCAACATCAACATCAGCACCATGTCTAATTAGCATAAGAGCAACCTGGAATACAATTGTAGGAACAAAATTTAGTAAAAATCTGTATAGGCATTTAGGCAAAATCTTTATAGAGCAACCTAGAAATCAGTCAAGTCTACACAATCAAATTTTCAAGTAAAAAAAAACACTCCTTGATATTCAGAACTCAGAAGGCAGTGACCCACCAATAAACTAATTGGTCTATCCAGTTAAAAACATGTTCAAAAGGCTATAATCATCATAATGAAGTGTCAACAGCAACATAGATGGGCATTCTAGATGCATTTTGGAACACAGCAAATCATTAAATAAGCAGAAGCACGGAAAAGGTAATGTTACTAGTTACTTCACAGATGCACACGAGCAAGACATGAAAATTGCCATCTCTGCATGCATATCAACAAATTTGATTTGATGCAATGAAGCCAGAAAAACATACCCCTTTGTTCTCACATATAACAGCATGCATAAGAGGTGTTTGTCCTGTCTTGTCAGCAGCATCAACTTCAGTGCCTTCCTCGATGAGGAATTCACACAACTCCGCATTTCCTGTGCTGGCAGCTCTATGCAAGGGTGTGCAGCCAAACTGAAAAGCAGTTGAGATTCACATGTTCGGCAAATCAGTTTGGCTCCCGACTGCAAGTGTACGATGATGCACAATGTAGAGACATATGCGATAGCATAACAACAAGCAACATATTTTAGGGCACGCAGGGTAGAGGATCTAGCACATCTCTGAGTCACATAATCAACTGTATCTAACCACATAAATTTGCCCGGTTATTATTTCTTGTCCAAACTGGTATAGAGGCCAAGGATAGGCCAACAAATGAATCATCATGGCAAACCAAATGCTCACAAGACATATAAGATGTTTTGAAATATTATATTTTATATTGATGATTTTAAGAATTCAAGGGATCTTGGCCTTGCCTGTTGCATTACCTCAGGACAGAAAAAGCTTCAGCATTTACAGACCCATATTTTCCATCTCAAATTCAACACTAGCAAAGTTTCAATGTCACCAAAAAGATCTACTTAGAAGAGAACCAAAAACTCATAGATATCGACTGCCCAGGAGCTGGGGCATTGAACCTATGTTCAGTCATTACATGAAACTCAATATATGTTTACTCTTTTTTGGATGTGAGTTTCATCACCAAAGAAGGCCATTTGCACATTATTTTAAATTGTTGAAAGTATACAAACCTTGTCTTTCTTGTTGACATTAGCACCATGGGCTATTAGTTTTTCAGCTATGTTAAGCCTCCCTTTACTCGCAGCATAATGAAGAGCAGTTCGGCCACCATCAGTAACCAGGTTAACATCAGCACCTGGTATTGCAAATTTATGATTGCACTAGTTGGGGAAAAAGAAAATATTTATATAGACAAAACTACTGATCTTTTCCTAAAAATAAATCCAATAGGGAAGGTGGAACACAAACTCACTTGAATAGAAGCAAAGAGAATACAGTAGCATAATGCTTATAATTTATAACTAGCAGATACTACTTGTGTGTAAGCTAAAATACTTCACAATTCTTTTTCAAAAAGATAAGTTTGTGATGAAATGGAACTGTTGACGTCCAGTACCCTGGAATGGACTGGTACTGGCACATTCCATTCCAAGTGGACAAGTGAAAAATAGGAATTCATCAGAAAGCTTATTCAAGGAAAAAAACAGCAATCCTTTAGAAAGTAGTCCTGTTCGGGCAATTTTTGCCAGCTTGTCATTTTACTTCTGTAGGATATACGAATCAGCATGCTCAGAATAGGAGCCTACACAAGGATGTGGGAAAAATAGCACGATATACTGATATGGCGCTATACATGGATACCAAAGAAGTAAAACAAGCACCACATGCCTCAGATAGTCAGATGATTGACCAACACCAAAAAGGGCGTACCCAGTGCAGAGAACTCCCGCTCTGTGCGGGGTCTAGGGAAGGGTGTCCGCCAAAATCTATTTGAATGTCATAGGCCTATGGCAGCTATGTGCCCATTAATGTGTTAAGCACCATGCTCCCTTATCAATAAATACCTAACTATCAGTAACCGCCGTATGAGTAAATCAACCATATCATTCTGAAAATAAAAAACAAGAGATACCATGCTCTGCTGCCATGGATGTCAGCTTTACTTATCTAGTATGCACAAACTAGGGCAACACAAAACATGGAAGTTCTGCAAATAAGAACCAATAGGAGGACATTAGCAACCAGGAGCAATATCCATGACGATTTTAGCCAAGAGCAACAAGGTACCGTTAGCAAATATGGATTTGAAATGTTACAGCCTACAGCAATCACGTGCCCACTAACCACTATGTTACCGCATCAAATTATAAATCAAAACTACATCAATAAATCAGTCAAATTAGCCAAAGAACAAAATAAGTAACATATAGCAAGTAATACTGCACTTTGCATTGTCATATGAGACAGACATGATGCTCAAAAATTTGCACTATTCACTGCATTTTTCAGAAACTGAACGTAGAAACAATGTTATCGGAAAACAACAATACATCAATCCCGTCATGTACTACCAATTTTGCGCCAACTAATCTTAGAAATCCGTAGCAGAAATAGTACAGTTCGCCGCCCACACGTATCGGGCTGGTCTCGTACCTCGCTCAAGCAGGATGTCGACGATTTGAGAGTTGCCGGAGCTCGCCGCGGAGTGGATCGGCGCCCACCCCTCCTCATCCTTCGCGTTCAGCACGCTCGCCGCGGAGTCACCGCCGCACTGCGCAAGCGCGAGCACCACCTAAAACCCAGGGAAACACCGGAAATCTGTCAAAAAACCTAAACCCAGTTTTCACCCTAGTAGAGAGTAGAAGGCCCCTTTGCGTGCCTGGGGATGGCCGGCAGCGGCGGCGACGTGGAGGAGGGAGCGGCCGTCCTCGTTGCGAAGGGAGAGGTCGGCAGGGGCGAGGGAGGCGAACGCGGCGGCGTCGCCGGACTCCGCGGCGCGGAAGAGCTCCTTCTCCGACGGCCGCCTCTCCCCGCCGCCGGCTCTATCGACGTCCATCGCCGTGGCCATCAGGAGGTACTTCGTGCGGGTTCGCGAGAGGGAGGGGCCGGAGGCAAAGCGAACCAGCGAAGGCAAGACAAGAGCAAGGCTCTTCGAGTAAGCGCCCCTTCTTCCAAGAAAGAAGACGACCTTGGGCTTCGCCGTTCCTTGCTGTAAATGGGCCGTTATGTGGAATCTGGATTCTGACGATGACGCGGCCCCGCTTCGCGGTTGAACTGGGCCAATCCTACTCCTACCGTCCTACGGTCGCCGCGCCACCGCCCCTGCTAGGCTGCTACTACCGTCATTGCGCCGCTCGGTGCTCGCGCGTCTCGCTCAGAAGCTCACGCTTTGGTTGGATAATTAGGTTTATTATACGAGCGCGTCTCTCGATTCTAATTTGTTTTGGAGAAGATGAACAACTTAACAAGGCAGTTTCTGAATCTGGTGGTGGAAAATCTGAATCTGGACACCGACTTGTATTCTCTGCGCGCCTAAATTTGTCCGCCATCTCTTCTACCCACAGCAGCTGCAGCTGAGACCGCAATGGCACGGTCAGAAGCAGCAATCCAGTCTATCCAGATGAACACCCTATTCGCTTATCGTCATAAACGATCAAGCGAACAGGGAGGCAGACCGGCAGAAGTAATTTTGATTCTTGGGGGAAGAATACAATTGAATGGGACTAAGAAGTTATTTCTCCATTATTGATCTTCTTTAAACGACAATTCCGAACCACTAATTCACTTACGCAGAAGATGACAACCATATATTACAGTGTACACTGTACAGTCACCATGACGCGACCAGCGGACAGCTAGGATGGTCCCCCTCCTGCTCACTCTAGGTGGTCATGCGGCCGGAGCGACATGAACATGGCCGCGTAGTGTCTGAGCCGCCGGTCCCCGTCGTCGGGCCCGCCAACCAACGGCGGCGCGGCCATCGCCGCCAGGTCCGTCGTCGACTTCCGGGCCCTGTACCGGCGCCACGCGAGCTGGATGTTGACGGCGGCCCACGTCCGCCAGTTGGACGAGTAGTAGCGCGCCGTGCGCTTGAGCTTCTCGTTGGCGAACTTGTACCGGAAGTGCTCGGTGATGAACCGCAGGTCCAGCGCGTCGAGGCAGAACGCCTGCACCGCCTCCACGCACTCGAACGTGGCCGACGACGCGGGGAGCCGGACCACGAAGGGGCGGCGCAGGCACCACGACAGCAGCTCGTCGCCCAGGAAGTTGCCCGCGCCCAGCATGCACGTCGCCACCACGCCCTTGGTCAGCGGCTGCGTGCTCCGGAGCTTGCCCTGCAGGATGAACACCATGCGCTGCACGGGATCGCCCTCCCGGATCACCTTCTCCCCGCTGGAGAACACCAGAGGCCGCAGCCGGTCGCAGATGTTGTCCAGGATCAGGTCGTCCATGCCATGGAACAGCGGAACCTGGCAAGGGAAAAATTTCTAACAATTTCATCGCACATTCATGATTCATGTAAAAAAAACTGCACATTTTTTTTTTTAAAAAAAAGGTCAGGAAAAATCACAACAACTTCAGTTACTTTACTGACTAAAGAAAGGCTCTTCTGAGAGACAGAGACTGTACCTGCTTAACCAGCTCGAGGCAGAGGTAGCGCTTGATGTCCCGCCTGAGTCCTTCAGGCAGGTCCTTGATCATCTCCATCTCCTCGTCTCCCGTGACGGCGGCCCAGCGTTCGCGCTCGTATTTGCGGACCCTTTGTCTCAGCCGGGACGGCAGCTGCCTCCGTCTCATCCACCATTCCATGTCCCGGAACCGCAGCTGCATCTTCCGCTTCCTTGCCAGGACAGCGTGCAGAAACACCTGCAGATTCAGTAAGTTGTAGACTTGTAGTTAGTGAAGCGGTGTGATACAATCACAAAGAAGGACCACTGGACCAGAAATGACACTGTTTTACCTGTATGTTTCCGATCAGCAATGTGAAGAGCATCAGGCCACTGAGGACATTGATTATGCTGAATATCACCTCAATACCATTGCTTGTAGGGGTCAGATCGTTACCAAAAGTACTGCCAAGCAATTCAAGGAATTGTACAAGTTTACCAATATGCAGTTGTTGAACACAATAGGGCAACAGCATTAAAAAATATGTAAAGAAATACATGCATGGAACAAGACTAGAATTCTTTTAGTGGAACTGAGGTATCAGTTTGATGTCTTGTTTATTCAGATAAACAGTATAAGAAAGAAAGAATATTCTGAACATATAGCAGATTACTAAGACAATAGTTTCCTTGAGAGCAGACACTCTAAAAGTGATTACCTGAGTGTCATGAGGCCCCAAAATATAGGATAGAGTATTTTGACAGCAAGCGAATTGCTCGATATAACAGGAAGAGCCCCCAAATAGATTCCATAAGCAAAGGACCCTTTTCCACTTAAACAAGTAGACACGTTTCGTTGACTAAAGGAGGTCATGTTCCTATCACATGCGAATCCATTAACATTCGATGACCAAGGAGGGTGAAAACATATCTCCTTGGAACAAGCTAGCGATATTAGATCACAACTGTTGTTTCTCTTGCATTCTTCCTGAAGGCAGGAAGCAATGCGCTGGATTGCAAGAACATACCAGCACCCACCTGCAATCTGGAAATGGCAGAACATTGATGAATAATTTACCCAGATTATTCAGTATGCACATGTTGAAGGGCGAACCAAAAAATTGCAGACAAGAATTCTTATTTAGGAAAAAATTGTTTTGAAATTTTAAATTATTGCACATGTTTATTGGTGGACATTAGATAAAAATCCAGTTTCTTAATCACTTCTGATATTTAGTTGTTTAGCCAGTTTCCATGTTCAGCAACATTATGATCATTGAGAGGCTGGAACAATTCATCTTTATAATTATCTTCATATTTGCTAGAGAAATCAACAAATTGGTACCAACTTTGGAAAAATCAAATGTAGGAAAAAACAGAAGTGAAATCTAGTGCACCTAAATAATATGCTGTACTACTGAAATATATGGAGCAATTGTAACCCCCCTCCCCCCCTTCTCTCTTTTAAAAATTCAGAACATTGATAATACTAAGTCACCAACAGCCAGAAATCAATGATTACCACTCTCAATGCACTCTATGATACTATGAGAGCGACTCTGGGATTCCATGTCCACACATTTTAATCTATAAGTAATGAGGAAGGGAATACTCACATGAGAAGCAATGAAATAGGCAAATAGATTTAAACCAAATCCCCACCATATTGATCCAAAGATGTAACCCGTCACCTTCTGCATTTTCCTCATGATGTGTATACAATGGTAGACCTTGGGGAGAAATTGAAATATGAACATGAGCAGCAGTATTGTCATGATAAGCTTAACTTGCTCTTCCCTAATTAACTTTGGTATAACCAGCCAGAAGATGACCTGCAGAATTTGATGGACGGCCTTGTTGAGAAAACAAAAGCTATAAAGTAAAGTAAAGCAAATCTATATGTTTCTTTGCGAACCTTGACATAAAAGGAAATCTCGAGAACATACAAAAACGTAAAGAAAACTATTATATTCCATCTTCGAGGTCCTACATGCAGATGATTGGCATGTGTGATAATTAAAGTCCTCAATACAATTCCTTTTTTTTTCTCTCAGGAAGGTGTTGTTAAATTGGTGCCTGCCATTTTTTTTGATAGATACTAATCAAAATTCATTTTTGATAACATTGAGATGCCTCCCTTCTTTCTCTTCGAAGATAAATAAGTAGGGACAGTGGCAGCATATGTATAAACTGGACCCACAGCTTCTGCCAAAATACGGTTAATCCCCTTCACAAAATTTCAATTATATATGTTGATTGTGTAATGCTTGTGTCAATTGACTTAAAAAAAATCAATAAGCTTGGCACCACAGGTTTTGAATCCGGGATCCGCCACCGCATAGTCAAAGCATCGAAAAATAATGTAGAGAAAGGAACTGGGGTGGCTAGAAACCCTTGTATAACAAAAGGAACACGTGGGAATGTCTGAGCTCTAAACAACTAGACATGTCGACTGCTGATCAATCACTTAGATTGACCCTTTAGAATAATAACTTGAATCGTTTTGCAAGGATAAACAATATATCAATAACCCAGCCATTGATTTGGAAAGGATATAAGTAATAATTTCTATCATTGACCAACCGGTCCAAATAAGCACTGTCCACACACACCTTGCAGCCAGGCCCCACCTAACATTGACAGGTGCAATCATGCCATTCATGCGAAACAAAAACGAATATGCATTCTTATATTATGCGACAAAAACTAGCTGTCACTCGAAGAAATTACATGATCATCTGAACGACAAAGACCACTAAACAGTTAGGAAAAAGAATCCAATGGCATGAACAGAAAATCAGACAAGTGTCCTGTGTCCCCAGAACAAAAGCCACGTTAGAGTCTAGTCATAAGTCTCGAGCAGTGGCAGATATGAAATGAGAACATCCGATTTCATATCTGGTTGGTCCGTGGGTCATATCTCACTTACCATGCCAAAAGGGCCCCACCCTACCATGAGCAGTTCGCTGATATGCGTGACTGAACTATAGTTTTCTATCCACTTTTCTTCCATCAATGTTGGTTATTACCTCATTGTAACTATGGTCATTTTCAAATCTAGTCCTACCTTGATGCTGTTTCTTTTTTCACCTGGCATGAATGATTGCATCCAAGGTCATATTCAAATACTATCGCCGCCAATCATTGCGTTACCCCGTTATCGATCCGTACTACTAGTTCCGTATAAACCCGTCAGACTCTTATCCTCTACTCTCTCCGTACCTAAATATCTGTCGTCATTGGTGTGCGTGCCACAAGTTTAACTCGATTTACAAAAAATACGTGCAATATTTGTATCTCTAAATAAATTTATTAAAAAACTAGATTTAAAGATCTTTCCAACTTTACTAATTATATACCATAAGTATTAATATATATTTAGTTAAAGTTGTTTCTCGCGAAAACGACTGATATTTAAGAACGGACGGAGTATGACCGCTAAACACTCCGACCTGAATTC